GATTTCCTGCTCATTACAATTTCATCATGCTTTACTATATTAGGTTCTTATTTAATCAATAAAGTTTCAACTCAGATCCAATGTTTCTCTTTTACCTAGCCACCTAGACGAGATTTAAAAAAAAAAAAAAATGGCTTTGAGGGGAGTACTCTAGGAAAGTGGCTATAAGCACACATGACAATGAGCCAGATGGATCTAGTTTAAGTCCCAGCTCTGCTACTACTAGATGTGAGACATTGGACAAATTATTTTTCCTTTATTAGCCTCATTTTCTGTATCCCTATCTTCTGTTTACAGTTGTTTAGATAAGATAAAATATATTAAACATTTAACATGACGTCTACCTAATAGAGTATCCTGTAAACATTGATATTGAGATAGTTTCTTTGAAATAATTTCAAAGCTTTGAATATATGATGATAGCAGACTTTGAGTAATGATTAGGCACAAAACAGAAAGCAACTGGGGAGATGAGAGTCTTCACTGATGGGTCCCTTTTCACTTTGTCCAAATGTGATTTAAGAATCCTGAAGGATAACTGTGGATTCAGTCTGCGGATATCAGTACAAAGGAATGACTAACTTGAGTGTGTTCCTGGTAAGTAATTTAATTTCCCTTTACCTTACTTTCTCTTCTATAGAATGTTGATTCATGGGAAATGTATTTTGGGAGAACCCTTTTGACAGAGATTGAGTTTTCAGCCCTGCTTGTGTTGCTCTATAGACATGGACATGCTGGAAGCACATTCACTCACATCTCATGTCCTGCTTTCAGTGGCATTCTCCCACAATGGCATGTGTGTGTTTCTGTCACAAAGCCTCTCAGGAGAGGAAAAGTCATTTTCACGGAGTTTTAGTTTGAAATGAGCTGCATGTACCCTGAGACATAAAGCAGATGTGCTCTGCTTTAGAGAAGACTCTTCATCCACCAATCTACAGATTGTCTTGATAAGCCAGAGAGATCCTATCAGAGACCCTTAGAGATGCCACTGCCAGAAAGTTTTGGTTTAGCAGGAATGTCTATTGCTCCCTGGCCCCAGTGGCTACATATCAATTGATACTTACCCCTCAAAATCATACCCTAGGGGCTGGGGTTGTGGCTCTGTGGTAGAATGCTTGCCTAGCATGTGTGAGGCACTGGGTTCGATTCTCAGCACCACATATAATTAAATAAAGGTATTGAGTCCATCTACAACTAAAAACATTTTTTAAACTGAATTTTTAAATGCAATTTAAAAAATGCATACCCCAAATGGAAACAGTGGTCAATTAAGAAACAAAACATTATTAATACAGGGAAAGCATTAACTCTCCTTAAGTTGAAAAATTTAGAAATATTGGGGCTTATCCCAAAGCAAGAATAGTGGATAATATAGACTTGGGTGGTTTGAGAATTAGAATTCTGGGTATAAAGTGCTATACAAGTCGCAGAGTGCCTGTTACACCATAGACTCAGTGGTTATATGGAACTGAGTGAATGAAGGGAACAGTAAGAAAAAAGACAGGCAGGACAGAAAGAAGAAATTAGAAAAAAAGCTAGGACTTAGTATATGTGGACTATGATTCATCACTTAAACGACCCTAGACAAGTCTCTTAAACTGAGACTCAGTTTTTCATGTGGAAAACAGAAACAACATCTCACTGATTTGTTGTGAGAAAGAATTCAAATAACGTAGTTACAAAGATATGTGGCTTGAAAGCAGCTGACAGTCATAAGACCTGGATTGTAGATTGGCATCAAATCAACACAATATAATTCATCAAATATTTACAGAGCCTTACTATTTCCTGGGATCATATCCCTGGTGCTGGAATTGGATAAGAGAGAAATAAGAGGCAGCCTTGACCCTTGGATAGGGCAACTGGATTTGGAGGAAGACCAGATTCCATATCTTAGAATTTTTATTTATTTCACATACACTCATAATGGGTTCCCTAACCTCCACCCTAGTTGCATTGCCCCAATCCTTGCTCACAGGAAACTTAGTCTATTAGGGGAGGAAAAACTTATAAACCCAATATTCCAAACAGCATGCTAAATGAAACAATGGTGGTACATATTATGTGTAAGGAGTCTGATGAACTGCAGTAGAAGAGTTAGGCAAAAGTTCCTGAAGGCGGGGCGGAATGTGTGGACTGAATTATGGAAAATAAACAGGAATTGCTACAGAAAGAAAAAAAAATCAGGGAAAGGGCATTTCAGACAGCAGGACATATGTCATGCAGAGCCAAATAGGAAATTGCTAGTTCTAGGTTCTGACATTCAGTAGCTTTCTTTAAACTTCACAAAATTTCCCCAACTTTCTCATCCCAGAAAATGAAGTTAGAGGATGGAAAGAGTAAACTTAGGTTATTTGTAAGGTGCTTTCCTATCTGAATATGTCCATGTAAGAGCAGAAAAAAAAAAAGTAGCAGCTTTGGAAACATCAAATGTGGTTTTTAGGGCAAGAGATAGAAATCCCAACTTTTGTGACAATGAAGATAATAGGTGCCAGCATTACGGATTGCCAGTTAATGTTTTGCAGAGGTACTGCTTTAAGAACACACAACCTGGGTTAATTTAAGATAAGGAGTTATCACCTACAGGAGAGAGAGAGAGACATTAAAGCCCAGTGCTCTTTAATATAAGGCTGTTAACTTATTTGCTGGATGTTTAAGATTAAGTTTTAAAATTAAAGTTAAATTAAAAGGGCCAAGAAAACCAATATTTGGCTCTTGCCCTCTAAGTCAGTCTGAATCAGGGAATAGGGGACTTCTCCAAAGAGCTTTGCAACTCTAGGCCACATAACCTCCCGATCAGGGAGATTAATGAGACCAGAGGAGGACAGAAAGCCAATCAGTGCATTTGCTGTGAAGAGGAGGGTCATCACAAAAGGGAGACATCCCTGATGCTTCCAAGGGAAGCCACATGGTCAAGCAAGGCCTGGATATCAGCTGTTATGGATTTGAGTCAAATCATCATCTTTTCGATCTGTAGAAATTGTTTTAGTTAATCTCTCTGGAATCCAAATGGGCTGCTGTTCTCCCTGTGGAAAAACACAAACAGACCCCTGACTCCAGACAATCACTGGATCAGGACCTTTCCATTGTCCTGTTAGAATATCTTTCCAAAGTACCTTAGGCTTATGTACATTTTTTGGATACATATGCCTTTCCGCAGCACTAAGTCCTGATGAATCCAAATTTAAAAAGTTTAGAGTAAAAAGCGTTATTTTAAGTTTATCTTTGGGGGATATATACCCCCTTTCAAAGTAGGTTAACAGATCTGTTTGTTTACTTTCACCTTTCCTTTTCA